ACTATAATGAAATCATGTAGAGTCTGAAATAAAACCCTGAGTGAAACCCTTCCAGTTGTTCTTCAGGGAGTATATGTTGCATCATCTTGTGGTGTTGATGGAACAAGCACTCAGCTGAATATTTACATCAAATCAGGATGTTGGCCTGTCATGTTTGGTGTCAAGTTTTGGAATCAGCAATGGAAAGCAACTTCAGAGGAAAGGTGGTGGGCGAGTGGAAGGAGAAAACCATCCAGAAAAGGCTTGGATTAAAAGTTAAGGAGAGCACGTCGAGAACAGCAGTGAGAAAGTTAAACAAATAAAACGATGGTCAAAGACAGCGCAGGACCTCTGAGGCTTTGTAAACAAATAAACACATAATCTTTCTCTTCAGACTCTCACACACACTCGCACTGTCAGAGAAATACCGATCAAACTCTCCATTTCTGTGTTTGCCCTCTAGAGAGGGCTTTAAACAGAGCAGATTCATCTTGTACACCCTGACCCCCAGCTTTACCGCTCACCTCTCTATGAACACACACACGTGCGCGCACGCACACACACAGCTCAGCAGAGCGGAGCAGCAGAAAGTGAAAACGCATAAAGACAGAGACTGCTACCATAAACTAAACAGTAACACACCTCATAGTTGGCATTTATTTTCTTCACTGGTTATTATGGTGTGTAGTTTTCCCTTTCTGTGGGCCCGAGCTCCGATGAGCAGGGTATTGATTCAAGTTGTGCGGTGCAGTCATCTTCACAGCAGCTCAACATCTTTCTTTCTGCTCTTCTGTTCAAATGCCATCCTGGCCTTTTTTTTTTTAATTCTGTGAGAAATATAAATATTTCAAGGAGTCTATGTGAAGTCCAATGTTTGCTGTTTAGATCACACAACTGTGTAAAAAAACACAGTATGCATTATTTAGTCTTCTAAATGCATATCATATTAAATAAATTGTCACTATAATCAAGAATAACAGCACATGAGCATTAAAGCACGTGTATTACTTTTAACTCATTGTTTTTTTGTTTTTGTCAATATTTTTATTTGCTCCTTCTCCAGTTTTAGAGAAACTTGTGACAATTATACATGGAGGCATGCACTTCAACAGGATATGTGTGTACTTTGACATGTGTTAGCAGTACATCGTAAAGGTGAAAAGCAACTCTTATTGTTCGCAGTAGACACACAGTTTGAACATATCATGAACAGGTGAACTCAACACAACATGATAGAGTGACAGACTTGGGTGTGTGGCTACCATGGTGACCCTAATGAACCACTTACTTGGGCTTTATTGTTTTAACCAATTTAAACATCAAATGTCAACATTTTGTCAGCCAGAATATTACAAATGCAAGTCACAAATTACTTTTAGGTTTGATAGAAGAAAGTTGGTGCTTGTTGGAATTTCAGACTGTAGCTGCATTGCTACCTTTATTAAATAAAATGTTTTAGTTAATATTACTGAGCAACGTGTTCCTGAGAAACAGCCTGAAACTGCAGGTGACATGTTGTGAAACTCACATCCTCCTGCTGGTCTGTCATTTAACTTTTGAAAACATTTTAAATTAAACTTGCTCATAAAATCAACAGTGCTTGACCCATAAATTGTGTGTGT